AACAGCAAATGTACAACGTTTCGACAAGGTTTTGTCATCATCAGGTACAGAATTTACACTGACACCATAGATGTTACATGACCGGATACTGTTGCAAAACTTAGAAGAGGTATCTAGGCACCCCGGGGTGTTGGTTTAGAGTAGGGTTTAGAGTTTAAAGATGGTTTAAGTATGGGCAATCCTGTTTCACCCATCTCCTACCATTATTAGTCTCAAATTGGGTTCCTCGTCATCGAATTTGAATCCATATGACTTGTTGATGTCAGTGCAAAACCTCTGTAGTTCTGAAAACAGGGAGTTTCAGGAGAGTTATGTCACTGTAATCACTCAAGATGAAGCATCCTTGAATAGTTCATGAAGTCAGAAAAACCCATAGGTTCAAGAAGTCTTGATAGAAGGTGATAAAAACCCTATAACTCGAATGCTTTCGAAACGTGGACCTTTCGTCTTCAGGTCCACCTTTTGAAAGTGCTTGGGTTATAGGGTTTTTATTATCTTGCATCCTTGAATAGGTTATTCTTGATTACATCTGAGCTCATCTGTCTCATTAGTGAGTTTTACAAAAGCTATGTCACTATAAGTAACCTACAATCATCAATAAATGAGCATTATCAGATCACATAATTGAGATCTATACAAATCTTCAGAAGTGCAGCAAAAATCAAGGGTGCATTCTCAAACAGTGTGGTAAAAATTCCTTTATCATAAAGGCAGGGTTTATAAACACTTTTTATCCAGGGTAGTTCCTAAAGCAGCAAAAATGATTTTTTTTGTGATGTTAAAGATCAGATTAAAATATGAGTTTGGTTTTGTTAGAAAGGTGACTGACACAGTAGAAGAGGCTATATTAAATCCAATCACATAGATAAAGCTGTAGACATTCAGCATATGGCAAAAGGCATTCACTTGTGAAATTGATAAAAAGCTGGTAAAGTTATGAAAGGATCTTAAAAATAAACTTAGTATTCTGAAAATTGTTTAATCTCAAAACCTAAAAGGTCCAGTTCAATCTACAACTTGATCAACATGTGTTATTGGGTTATACTAGTTTCAGAGAATTCCTTTCCTCATCATTAACCACGAACACAAGTTAACCCAAAGAAAGATAAATTGAACCTACATCATAATGAGAAATGTTTTATGAAAGGATCAGATGATCTTGGCAAGATTTCTCATGGTTCATCAACCACACCCTATATTTATAAAAAAGCTCAGACAAACAATTGGAAAGTATGAGTTTTTAGTCATCCCAAGATCACTTTTTTCTCTAATGGCCTGTTTCTTATACCAACAGATAAGTGTGATTGATGAGTATTAGCTTGAAGGCATGGAAAAAGTTTAACAAAATTCACAGTTAGAGATGAACCGAGACAGTATGTGTACCACTTACACCAACACCATTGTAAATGCTGTCAAGAGGCTGGAGATGGCAATGTGTGTTACTTAGCAGAAGCTTTTCTTTTCATGCATCAACAAAACACTAATTAGATATTCAGAAGGCAAAGTAATCTTTGACCAATATACTAAAAAGTTTCTCAAAGCACAAATCAGAAACAATAAAGCAGCTGGTGCCAATGCAGTCAAATCTATAATCAGTGACTTAATGAACATTAAACTGGTACAGTTAAAAACCCGTTTCTCAAACATCAAGACAAAGGCCCAACTTATAGAGTGCCTAGGAAAAGGTGTGCTTTATGTTTTCAAACAATGACAAGAGTTGAACTGTCATCTATAGGAAATTCACATATGCTAACAAACTGACCTGTTTGACACAAATATTGCTGAGCACAAACACGAGGAAGCAGGCAAGCTGATCACTGATTCCACTTCATGTGCTCAATGCTGCTAGATGATGCAACAAAATTCATGCCTTTGACTTGCCCACTCCTGATACTGACTTTTCATTCTTCTGATAGATTTTTCCTTAAACAATTATTTCTAGAATGAACTTGAATTCATCACAGGCAAGGGGAAACTCACTGGCAGATAAACAAACATGAGATGCTTGGCAAGTGGCATCAAGAAAAATAGAGAATTGCTTGGCCTTTATGCTTTCAGCGGAGCTGACTGGGCAAGAAAGTTCTACACAGTTTCCAAGAAAAAAAAAGGATAATGCCATATATGAGCTTTGAGTCAGAAATTGAGATAATATTTGTCTTTAAGAAATTTGGGGAAGATGTGACTGATCACAGCTATGACATGGAATTGTTGGAGAGCTTTATCTGTGAAGAACCTGTCAAGAGAAGCAAAACCAGGAATGTGGATGAGTTAGGATGGCAAATTTTCAAGACCAAAAGACCTAAAGGGTAAAAGTTACCACCAACATTTGAAGAAATGAAACCACAAAAACTAATTTCATAGCAAGAATGGACAAAACTTGGAGTTAATCAAAACTGCTAATTTCCCTCTTCTCGAATATGAGTGGGGGGAAAAAAAAACACATCAAAAGTGACAATTTTTCCAAAAAAATTTTTGAATTACTAGCTCCACAAATAGTGACTGAACTCATCCAGTGTGGATGTTGAGAACATGCTTTATAAACAATATTCTTTGCACAGCATCTTGTGAGTACAGTGATTGTGAAAACACAAAAGGCTATGATATTTTCAATTAAAGAGTTCAATGTATAGAAGAAAATCCTTGTATCTCAATAAAAATGTAAATGTTTCAATGAAAATGGAGGTTGATTGATAATACAAACCAATAATTATAATGTTAGTGATTTTTTTGAAATCACCTGTATTTACTGAAGATATTTGTGTAGGTCAAGCACATTTATAGTATTATTTTTTCTAAATTCTGAACCTCTTAATATCCTTAAAAAATGACAACCATATTGGAATTGAAAACTTAATATCTGGAATCTTTGATCTCCCCAAATCTTATCACTAGTTAAATAAAAATTGTTTCTAGGTCAAAATATGAGAGAATTATGGCTTTTTTTTGTTATTTGCCATGCATTTTCAACATGGTGACCATTAAAATGCCAAAGTTACAGTGGAAAAATAAAACCAAAACTTTTGGGATTCAGTTGGCCCTTCCAAACAAAATGATACTATAAAATCAATTTTGGCATAAAAAATCAAGCTAGAAAACATGACGAACCAAAGAATTTTGTGAATCATGATGGCTATCTTTTATGATATCATACTTAACTAAATGATTTTGCAAAGGTTCTTTATCATACATTAGCTATTTTTCCAACTATAGAAGTATGACTAATTGGCCTATAATTTCCAGGGCAGTATTTATCATCCCTCTTTAAAAAACAGGAGTAACATTAGCAGCTTCCAATTCTCAGAAGATTGTCCAATGTCTATTGACCTACCAAAAATAAAAGTTAATGTATTTGATCTTTGACCTCCTTTAAAACTCTGGGGAAAACATTATCTTCTCCAGGTGATTTATCTATGTTTAATCTTTGATCTTTTGTACTTATGACAAGGAATTTCAAAAGGAAATATTTAAATATATTCTCAATCTTCGCTTGTCTATGTAATTAACATTTGCTTGCTAAAATTTGCCCATTTTCTATTTTTTCGTCACCCTTGTATGATGTCCTGAGTTTAATGTAAATTATGCTTATTATAGATATCACTAAGGCATATCCTAATTTTGTTTACAATTATAAACCAGAAAGTCACACTTGCCACACTCTCCTATTATATCCTCTTTCTAACAAATTACTAATAATTCTCTCTGATGTTTGCTATTACATCATTTATAATCAATAGAAAGACAAAGTTTTATTTACTGAATGATGTATAATACTACTTCAGATAATGGCTATTTCACTTACAGATTGAAAGTTGCTATTGTGGAATTCTGATTGAACAGCATTTTAAGGCATTTATGTCTTAGTTAGAAAGCCAATTAAATTACAATAGTTATAGGATACTATTTGCTTTGTGCATGTTATTATTTTGTGTTCTTAAGAGAAGGTTTCAAATAAATACAAATTTTTAGTTATTAATAATAGTTACAAGGAACTAGATTTAAGTTTTGTCAGAGGGCTGACAGCAAAAAACAAGAGGCCAAACATAAGAATTAAATTTCTTGTTTATTATGCATATTTTTATTTTATTGCTATAAATGTAAGTAAAACGTAAAAATTAAAAACTTATTAGGTTAAATATGGCAAGATTATATTAGATAATGAAAAAATAATAAAGATCTCCCACAAGATAACTGTGTGAGTAGCTTGTGTGTTACATTATTCAATATCGCAACTTGAGCTATGCATTCATCATATGATTTACAGCTTGTATTACAGGGTTATTAATTAATTTGGTTCAAAAGAGCACCAAAACAATAAAATTAAATAAAAATAGGTGTACACTGTTATGAACTTAAAGCTGTTTAAGATAAATAATTGTAATTTTCAGGCATTCTACAAAGAAAAAAAGGGTAATTTAGATTTATTTCACAATTTTTTCAGTGGTTACAAGGTTGGTCAAATCAACTGAACTAAGTCGATACAGTGTTAGGGCAGAGAAAATATAATGTTTTACTGAAAAAAAAACAAAAAAACTTGATATTCCTTTAGGAGGTTATAGAGGCTATGCAAATGGAATTTGAAAACTTTAAGATGGAAAAAGTATTTTTAATCTTAACCTGAAAATTAT